GAAGCACTAAAAGCTGGTCAAAAGATGTAGGAGTATTGTTAGACAGTGATCACGCACGAGTACTCAGCTTGAGGTGCAACATCAACTGCTAGCCACACGACTACATGAAGCGGGAATGAATGCTGACACTCGGTAGAGGACAAATAGAGAAGAAGCATGATTTGAGCCTTTGCATTGTCGAAGAAAGCACATACTAAGCCGATAGTATGATAGCCCGACAAACGAATAGCGACCGTAGCCAGCACACCTGGGGAACACCAAACTCCAGCCCATATATACAGCCAATTGAATCCCCCACTCCTATGTACACTTCAACATTCCCTTCCAGATCTAGAATCCGTATCCAAGCCAGCCGATAGTGTTCGAGTACACACTTAGATTGTCACTCCACTTGGCCTTGTCGACTCCATCAACTGTAACCATCCATTCACTACCCACCTCACTCAGTGCAAAAGCCTGCACACTGCTAGCACCCTCGATAGAAAAGACACGACTCTGGCAGTTGCGGAATCCATTCGGTGCGTCAGCACTTGAACATCCGACGTTGTAGTTGCGGAAGAAGGAGTACAAGCCGCCACCGTAGATGAGCACGTTCTTGGATCTGAGCACGCGGAGGCCATAGGCTGATGCACCAGATGGGTAGACGGGGTCCGAGAAAGCGTCGGACCTGCCGTAGGGCTGGTTGGAGGCATCAGGTGTGGGCATATAATACGGGGTTTCCGTTTGGATGAAGCCCGCGAAGATGTTCGATGCGTCGTTGAACTATCTACTTGTTAGCTTTTGCTTGTATTGCCATGTTACAGGATTGAGAGTGACTTACTTGGTACTGGTATAGCGCATGATGCTCCACGCCGTTAGCCCATAGCCACACGTTTTGCGCTTCGATATGCAGACCGCGTCCGGTGAAGATGGAGATTTGTGTGGATCGTGCATCGTCCAAATCATGATCTGCTGTCCAGAACCAGTTGTTCTCGAAATACGCTCCGTTCGCGCCCTTGGTAACGTGCACGTTGGTATGCGCAGCCATACATTGCTGATTGACGGATCCAACAGTGGCAGGGCATTGAGCAACCTGCAGATTGGTACCTTTGGAACCTCCGATACGGGTGTGAACATCCCAGACACCGGAGCCACGGTCGCTGTTGAGGTTGTATTGGATGACAATAGCTCCTGGAGTGGCACCTTGGGTTTGCACAATCATATCAGACCATTCGATGTGACCGCTCTCGCCGGGTTTGCCAATCTGCATGATGGGTACAGGGCTGTCTTTGTTTCCGAATGTGGCACCTGAGCCCATGATAGCAGAGAAGGTCTCACCGACCATTCGGGAGCCTGGCGGGACGTAAATGGTGTTTGTGACCCTGTAAACGCCATGTTCGAAGAAGAGAACCTACAAGGATGGTAGAGTTAGTATCTGGAAAAGAGATAAAGTGTAGTACTAAAGCGATTACGCACCTTGTTTTGAGCAGCGGCCCTGGTGACGGCATCCTGCACAGCCCTGGTGTCGTCGGTACGACCGTCACCTGTGGCTCCACTACCACGAGCACTGATGAAGTCACCAGTACCAAGGTTCTCGTATTGCGGCTTCGACTTGGAATAGTACTTGCCACCATCCAAAAGACTTCCTGGTCGAGCGACAGGAGAGATGTTTCCCTGGAATTTCTCTGGACCGTTCGCATTGGGAGCGTACTTGTTGCCCTGACCCCAAGCTTGGATAGTGAGCGTTCCACCTGGGAGGACAGTAGCTCCGTTGCCTACAACAGCGTTTGGCACGTTGTTGAGCTTGATGTTCTCGAGTATCAGCTGGCCAGCACCAATAGGCTGACTGGTCCTTGTCCACGCCATATCGACAAACTTCTGACAGTTGGTGATCTCAGAGTCGATAATGACAACAGAGCCGACCTCGAGTTTGTTGGCGGCGGCACCATTGCTCATGGAGAAGGCGGTTCCACAGTCGCTAATTGAAAGACCGGAGTACAACCAGCCCCAGTCCCAGATCTGAGAGATACCGGTGACAGCCTTGGAGATCTTGACATTGCGCATGGTGAACTGCTGGTTTCCAATGTTCATGCCATATAAACCACCTTCAATATCAAGGTCAGCCATGTGGCCACCAGATCCGTTCTCAACGAAGATACCAGCATGTACCGAGTTTGACGCCTGGGTCATGCGGATCTTGACATTCTGGATAGTTGTAGCTTGCGAGGCAGGCCAGTGGATACCTTGGAAGCCACTGGTAGGTGCAACAGCGGTGCCATCGATGACCAAATTACGGATTTGTCGTAGGAAGATGTTGGTTGACGTCCAGCCAGCGTTACCGTTGCTGCCATAAGGACTAGCGTCGATGAGAGCAAGAGCTTGGAGAGTAGGAGCAGCCTTCAAAACAGGGAGACCTCGAGGGTTACCGATGAGTTGTGTCATGTAATAGAAGATGATGGGTTTGCTGATGAGGTAGGTTCCAGAAGGGATGTAGACCACGGCTGGGGAATCAGTGGCCGAGTCACACACGCCGGGACCGCAACGGTTCCCGTCGGAGATAGCACGGTTGATTGCATCGGAATCATCGGTAACACCGTCACCTGTAAGAGCGTCAATGGTATGTTGGAACACGAAAAGCAAAGTGACTTACCCTTCGCGCCGTATTCCTTGACGTTGCGGAAGACTTTGTAAGCGCTATTACCGTTGAAGGCAGCTCTTCCGTTGCCGGAGAGATCATTCAACCAGTATCCATCTGTGATAGCAGCAATTCCTTGGATGCTGCTTATGTTTGATGCAGGCTCAGTATCATTTGATACTTGTCTGCTAAACCGGGCTACGTAATGTCAGCCTTAAGTTGTAAAGGGGGGAGATATTTGCTTACATATAGCAGCACCCTGAATACCGACTGCACCGAGGCAGGCGATCAAGGAGGGTAAGTGCATGGTCGTAAGAATGTACCAGTAGACAATCCTATGTACAGTAGAAACACCAAGAGGAGGTGTACAAAGGAGTGTAGAGTATAGTAATAAAAAAGAGGTCTCAGGAGGGGAGATGATGATGTCTATTTAACACCTCCGTTTGTTTACTACCGCCCCTCTTGAGTAATAGGAGAAGATCCATACACCCACGCGATCAGTTAAGGATCTGCCCCTACGAAGCCTGCCGACTGGCTAACGAGGAGCATCCGGTGATGAGAAAACCTCACCGACTGCCACTTAGAAGGTCATAAGGACCTACCGCATACTGACTCACTAGGCGGCTACCCCCGTTGCCGTTTGAAGGGGTTACATAGCTCATTTCGGTTCACAGTTCGAGATGTCTTAGTCTGAGTAACGTAGTCTGGGGACTGGAAGAGCGCGTACTTACACCCTTCCCCTTCAAGCCAAATCTCCGAAGAATATTTTGCTTTGTTTAGCCATTTGGCAAGCTTAGTCCACCTTTCCATTTGTCGCAATCTGTCGCTATGATGCACAAAAATTGCAGCTTTCACCAGAGGTTGAATGGTAGCGGATACTGAAATGCAACATGCCTTTCGACATACGCCTTGAGTAAGCTGCAAGCAGAGAAGGAGCTGTGATGAGACTCAGGGGATTTACAGCTAACCTTGATAGGCACTGGTCATCGGGTCGGCCCTACGCATATTTCTTCTGTGAAGTGCTGTCCAGTGACAACGCAAGCACCGATTAAAGCATGTGATGAACACTAATCCTAAGACCAGAGCGAACGTCTCTGCGATTGGCTCCCCGGTCATGAATGCTAGAACCCCGGGTTTGCGCCATCTACCGTAGTTCGACGGCGACGCCTGAATGTGGGGTAGTTCTAGATAGTAGAGCCATGCGTCGCACTGCATGGGTCTGCCCTATGATCTTGCCCTGCAGCATAAGCCTCAAGACCGCGTGCTCCTGTTAGTTCCTTCTTGGACGTCAAGGCACTTACTTTACACCGACTGTACAGTGATGGAGCAAATGCAGGGAGTCTTGTGAGACTGTCGCAAGACAATCAACCTCAAGACCAGCCCGACATCATTGTTTGGACCTGCCTGATCGGAACAAAGTCAGTTTGAAACGGCACCAGTAAAAAATTTGCAAATGACGGCGACGTCAGGCGCATGAACGTTCACTGCGGAGCATATAGCGTCGTTTGTGGACTCGGGCATGCCCAGGCCTGGGCATGGTAGAGCTTTAGTTGGGTTAGAGGTTGATCGAGCGCCGTACTCTAGAGAAGGATTTCCTGTGTGCATGCCTTGGAGATTGCAACATCGCAAGCGCCGGCTTGACTACCCCAGATCTTAGGAGCCAGGCCTAGACGACGGTCATGCACAGGGTAGATCATGTGGGTCAGGGTTGGATAGATTAAAAGAATATGGTTGTGACCAGTCATGTGGCCGGAACCCAGCTTGCACGTTCGGCCGATCTGCCACTAAGGGCTGGCGCCGCGCTCAGTAGCTTCATATGTCGCAAAACGTGAGCAGATGCCGATGGAATAGTCACAGAGTATGCGATCCAGGTAGTCAAGCGAACGTACGCTTGTAACTTCGGACAAAGTCGGTCAGCCTAATTGCGGTAGAAAAAGTTAGCAGCGCCAATTTCCAAGTACACGCCCGTCTAGTCACAGTATTGGAAGGTGGCTATGGTGATAGACGTTCAAAAATCGAAGTGTGACAGGGACTCTGTATTGCAGCAGGAAAAAGGGGTCGGGATTCGCATCAACAAGCGCAATGTCGTCCTGCGTAGGATCGCGGCATGCAATTGTATTGTGCGGTGTCGTACGACAAACATCTCGGCACACAGCCGTATACAAAAGATGGCCACGCGAGTGGTACGACCTCAAGATGAGAGACTGTATTCATGTACTGGTTTAGTACGCGCTACTTTGGTCGACGTACTCTTGAGGCTGGTCGGCGACCGGCATCCGAGTGAGGCCCATTTTGACAGGCGCTTCAAGGACATTCCGTAACACATTGTAATACTGTCGCATCACTGGCTGTTCACATGTAGAGCATGTGACGGTTTATAGCGACCTCATAGCTTGGTTGAAACCCTGATGAACAAGGCTTCGCCGAGCGTGTATATTGTACCGTTGCCGTCTTCGATGGTCGCACGAACGTATAGTTTCCGATCGCCCGCTTCTTGTCGCTCGATCTTGGCCGTAAGAAGAAGCGCACCGGGTGTCGGCACTGGCTTCTTGTAGGTGGTGTTCAGATCTGTTTGCGTTCAGCTTGTGTGTTAGAGTTGAGGCGCGACATGAACAAACAGGCGGTAAAGTAGTTCAAGGCAGCTGCGCGGCGGCCGTCCTCTGTTATTTTTTGCACCTTCCTCTCCATATTCAGCATGATTAAGATACCGCACATCTCGTCAAGTAGTGTCGCAGCACAACCCCCATGTATGATCTGTGGGTAGCCGTTGAGTCCGTCGCCTAGCTCCACGATAGTCTTGACCTCCTTGTATGCGATATCGCCATCTTCTTCGTTGATCGGTCGAAGCGTCAGAAGGCTTCGTATCGTGCGACCTGTACTTAGAGTTTCTGCAAAGAAGGAATCTTCCCCGGATGCCTTTGGTGTCCGGGAGGCAGTGTTGACTGGAGTCCAATTGGGGTCATTGATCAAGGCAGCAGCCCAAGGAACTGACGACAGTCGGGAAATGACGGCGTCTGTCATGGCGCATCGATATTCTCTGGGACAGGAACCGCCTGTATCGCTCCCGCGACGTTTATCGAGGACATGATTGTGGAGCTCTGGGGTAGGGAGATGCCGAGGTGCGACGGATCATGGGGATCGTCAGTGCTCAGCTCAGTAAGCCGCCGACGCAGCCTCATTCGTTCGTGGCTACGACAGACATTGATGCCTTAAGAACAAACAACAACAACACAGTCTGAGACCGATGTCTACTTTGGTAGATGCAACTCCTAACAACGAGTGTGGAAAGACTCAAATCTGACCCTAATGCTTTCATGTGATTGCGCACCTCAATAATGCAAGACGTCATCTATACGCGCTAAACAATACGTCAAAGACACGCGAGCCGTAAACAAGTAGGAAGATCTCAAACTACGCCTATATTTCAATGATGTAGCTGCCGAGGTACTGGTAGGTCATAAGCTCCTCTTCCCCAGGTTTTCTACTCCGCAGTTGTAACATCACCAAACATACCTACACGGATAAACATCAGCAACAATGGTCGACACGTCGCATTCCAAATCCGTCCGCGGCACCCTATCAAACCCAAAGACCAAAGAAGCAATCAATTCCACCAAATCCACCCCCGATCTAGGGGATGGCACGAGTCTAAAACCCGCCAACGACGACAAAAAGCCTCTTCCATCAAATGATTCCGCTCCACCAGCCGGTCAAGGGAATGATACACCGTCTGCCTCCTCATCCTCATCTTCATCTTCAGATTCTGCTCCCACAGTCTCAGACCCTTATCGCAAAGCTGGTACAAGCGCTGGTGGCGGCGACAAAAAAGCCATAGGCAATGGCGGAAACGTAGAGGGTCGAAACATGGAAGATGGGAAGCAAGGAGGTAAGAAGAATGAGGCAAAGGAGAATCTTCCACATAGCAAAAAAGTACGGGGTACACTAGCAAACGACGATGGGGCAAAGGTGAATAAGACGCAACTCGGCGATCCAGCGAGCTTGAAAGCGGAGACGAGCAACACGAAGGACATGGGGAGGCAGACGGAAAGGGAGGGGCAAGACAAGAGTGGGAAGAGTAAACTGTAGATTATGTGGAAGGAACATGGGATTGAGATTTATATGTAGATTTGGTTATGTGAATTTAAGGTCGTCTACATCGTTACTGGGTATCTCTCTAATCTAGTCTATATGCTACAACCCCCATCGTACCTCTATTGTTCTAACTGCGGCAACGCAAGTGCATCGATAAAAATATTCTCAGCCCTCACTAGCTAGCCTCCGTTCTCTGAGGTGCCCACCCCTTGAGCCAGCTCCTTGCCTTGTCTAGATCTCCACCTTCAGCTTCCATTGCAGCAATACACCACTCTAGACCGTATCCACCTTTGCCCTCAATGCCCTTTTCTGCAGCAACCATCTCAGCCAGCGTTCTAGACTTCTGCGTCCTCTCGTCGACGCAGAAGTGCAGCGGAGTGTCATAACCCTTCCCATCCATGCCCTGCAAGAATGGCTTCACGAGTGGGATAGCGTCTTTAGTGGGTACAGACTTGTCTTCCTGTCCCAAGTTCTTACGGCCGGTGCGACAATACTCGTTCCTGCACCAAGCCTTCCCACAACCGGTAAGTAGCTGAGAGAGGTAGCGGCGCTCGATACGGCGGCGGAGTGCTTTGCCTTCTGGGTCGTGCAGAGAGACGTAGAGAGGTCCGAAACAGACACTGCACAAGCCGATCTCGTTGCCTGGGCCTTGACCTTTGCGCGTTCCAGCTCGTGTATCGCCTGCCTTGTTTGCACCATCTTGAGTACGGCCGCAATTAACGTTCCGACACATGCGCGGTGGAGGGCGGGATAGGCGTTCCAGATCATGATGTCGGAGATGTGTGTCCATATCCCTAAAGCGGACGATCTTGTTGCAGAGGTGACATTCTGTTGTTCGGCCGCCGTCTGCTAGTTCATGTGGTGTAAGACCGGAAAGGAGGAGTTCTGGGGACTGATCATTCGGATCACCTTCCTGTGGAACCTGTAGGTGACAGAAGCGGCAGAGAATCAGCTTGCCAGGACATACTGTAGTCTTGTGGTGTGATAGCATGGGTATCGACGGAAAGTCCATATCGCAAGTCGAGCAAACCTGTGGTGTATGGTAGAGAGCATCGTGTTTCTGTCGACTTAATGGAGTGTTACCAGTGAAGGTATCGTGGGGACAATGCCAGTGGGTTTGGTAGGCAGGCGAACGCTTCTGAAAGATTTGTCCGCAACCTTGTGGGCAGAGAATGTTGTTTCTCAAACAAAAGTTCTCATGCAAAAAGAGTGAGCCTTTGGGCACTCGTTGTTTGCAGTTTTGACAAATTACTTCGTCCGGTTCCACCGTTCCATTGGACTCCAGAACATCTTCCATTTTATCTTCTGCTTCTGTGTTGGGATCGTAAACCGACACCTTCAAGCGGAAGGGTTTGGGTGTGTTTGAAGGTGATTCGGATGGGTATGCGTGGACTGAAATCCACACAGCTTCTGCATCGTCGAGTTCGACGTTTGTAGGCCGCAGGCGTATGCGTTTCGGGTACTGGCTTGTTACGACTGCAAAGACATGCTCGTCTTCCCGTGGGCGAGCTCTTTGTCGTGATGAATATGGACTGACGAATAGATCAATCTCATTCTCATCGTCCACTTCATCTAAGAGAATTTCCAAGCCTCGAGATCTATCCCATGACGACAGCTCGAAATCAACATATTCTCCTTCAAGTACTTGTCCGGTTTGCGCATTAAATATGTCAACCAGCCCGCCAGTAGAACTACCTTGCGACGTTCCGGGTGCACGGTGCATCTTCGCAGCTATCCTCTTCATTGTTTCGCGTGCTTGTTCTTCATTCAAAGCCTCGATGTCCACCTCCAGGTCCGTGTCTACCACGCAAATCCCATCTCCTTCGGGCTTGAAACCATCTACAAGGAAACGAAACTCCTCGCGCTTACCACCAACCCCTCGGCCACCGTCTACAACCAAGACCTCGCCATTCGTCAATGTCGTAAAGTTGGACCTAAGATGCTCCTCAAGTAGCGATTTCCAGTCCTCTGGGTCATAACCAGCTTCGAGCGGCCGTAGCTTTACAAAAGTGCCCTTGGGCAGCTGTTTGGCATGCACTGTAATCTTTATGGATGCAGCACCGTTGTTTTCGAGCGGTGCTGCTCCGTTCGACATGGCCGCATCGACTTCTTCCTGGCCATTTGGACTAGCATCTCTCGACGGCTCTGCAGATTGTGTCTGGATTCCCAACGCCTCCTTCAGGAAACTGCTCAACACGATCTCGCCCTCTTCTGCAGAGAACTCGCGTATCCCTGCATGTACAACTCTGCCATTTTCCGGGTTCACGAGTCGAAAGGTAAGTGGGTGGGGTAGCTGTTGGAAGCGATCCTGCGTCTGTTGTCTTGCGTGGCGTTCGGCGTTGAACGTGTACGGGTTGAAGGGATCGAAAGCGGTGATGTGCGGTCGATTTTCGTCGACGTGAACAACGGGCGCCGCAGCGAGAAGCTGCTCCAACGCTGATGGTGGAAGGAGAAGTTTGTCGCCCGGTAGCGTGCTTCGAGATACGTGCGCGAGTTCGTATTGAGCGGACCACTTCAGCTCTGCTGGTTCTGCTTCCGAATCCATGGTAGATGTGTCTTACCTGCGGAGAATCGAAGGTAGGGACTGTGGTGACAAACGCATGAAGGATCGCAGTTGTTGTGCTGGAAGCGTGAAATGGCTGACATATGCGCCTCTCTACTCGAAGCTTCGGTGAATGCCTGGCGTCATTGCGCTTCCTTTCCGCGCCTCGGCCCGTTAGGCTTATCGATAGCGCTCGCGCCTCGCGTGGTAACGCGTGAAGGTACCGCCACCGTTGGACGGAGAAAACTACCCATTTTCCCCAATCCTAGTCTCTATCTATATTCGGCCTGGGATCTTGGGCGTCCGGTGAGCAACCTTTCCCCTGGTGCATTGGCGAGAGGCGATCACTAGCCTTCCGTAGATACTCCGATAGCTATCGCCAAGGGCATCGCAACATGCAACCTCTAATGCGCGTGGAAATTCAAGTAATCAAAGTTTGCAAGTCTTTTCGCTATTCAGCAAGAGATCCTTGGCTCTGCCCGGGCACTATCTTAAGGAGCTCTGGCACCATCTATACTAAGACTCCTGTTGAGTTTCGATATGTCGATTCATGCTCGTAACCGGCCAACGTGGGGCAATTACCCCGGTGGCTTCCAGCGTCGCGTCGCATGCTTGACATCTCGCAGCGACTGTTTTAGCCTGTTTCCACAGTCCACGACCAAGACCTCCGGCGCGGCCTTGGCTGCAAGACGTGTTCCAATCTATGCTTCATCGCGGCCTGATCTTGCAGGAAGCTTTGAGTTGCGTACTACACCGGCCTTGGCAGGGTCTCCACTTGCGATCGCCGCAGGGAGCGAGCCATCGGCGGTATCCCACGCCTACGCAAACCCCATCTTCTGCAGCGTCTCAACCTCGATTAGTCTTTCCTTTTGCTCATCCAACACACACCTGCAGTGTCAGATCAGTGGCACGTGCCTGTCTGGCCTGCCGTCTTGCATTGTGATAAAGAATCGGTGAGTACCCATCTAACCTCTGGCCAAATTTCTCTGGTTGTATTCCTCGAGCATTCGCCATGGGCCCTTCTACTTTCTGTGACGACCTCCCTACCTCCCTGGCGGACTTACTTTCCAACACCTTGATCCTGCGCCAGACTGCTCCCTACCTGCCAATATCTGCCCTTCGTAACCTGTCGCGAACCTGCAAGTCTCTACATCATGCCGTCTTCCAGTCGCCAGAAGCCTTCCGCTACCTGGACCTCTCCCCTGTAAAGTCTGCTATTGTGCCTTTCGATGGACCTCTTGATGTCGGTGGTGTCAGTTTTCGCGCTGAGCGAATGGATGAAGCCCTCACAGAAGACGATTTCTACAGCGGTCCTCTACGCCACATCTTCAACAGGCTGGAGAAGCTCCATGTTCTGCGTAACGTACATACACTTGTCCTAGACGGACTCAGCGTGACAGCAGAGTTGGTCAAAGAATTGCTTACGGAAGAACGATTCAACGTTCGTATACTTTCTATTCGCGAAGCTAAGCACATGAACGAGCGCAAGCTTCAGCAATACCTCCGATATGCGGTTCGACCATCAAGGCCCGCGGGCACACCTCGAGTCAAAGGCATCTACATCTTTGGACCCCGCGACCGAACACCGCGTCCTGCATCGCCCGTGACGAGAAAACTGTCCGCAGACATTCCTAGAGGCGTGACGACTTCACAAGGGGCGCAGATTGGGGCACAATGGAACGAGAAATCGCAACAAGCCTTGGATGCTGTACTAGCGCAGACCGAGGACAAATGGTATCAATCTTCTGGCAAAATCATACCAAAGCGGCCGTCCCCGGAATGGGCAGAAATACTCCAAGCATGCGAAGGCATCATTGCTTTCGATGCTGTTCTGTGCAGAGGACCACGACATGACCCGAGCAAAGCATATGTTAGGGATGCAACTGCGAGTGGAGCGACTCATCCATCCTCTTTCCTGCGGCCTACAATCGCAACTGTCGCACTTGGCCCATCGGGCTGCGAGACATGTCACTCGTCTCCAGAAGGACCAGCAGTTTTCGGCGACTCAAGCCCATCACATCATCCATTACTCAGCCCGGTACCGCTGCATGGCTCCTCTGTGCGTGCTGCCCAGATACCGCATACTCTCGACGGTTCTGCGCCACCGCCTCTGATAGTGCGATGCGAGGACTGCCTCAAGGGACGCTGGTGCGAAAGATGTCACAAATGGTGGGACGAGGATTGTTATACTGGATCCGTTACCGCCCAACGTACGGAACTACAGCAGACCGAGCTTACTGAGAGCTTGAAACCTGATGGGACTAGTCAACTGCTCCCAAAGCAAACGATCAAGGTACATATGGGCCTCTGCGTGGAACACTGCCTCCGTGAAGAAATGATGGCTGGAGCCGGTAGCGACGGGATGTGGGGATGATGGACCTACCTTGGCGCGCGAGAAGCGATGCTACCTTGAGGCCGTTACGATGTAGTTGGATTCCGGAAACCAGTCTTACCAAGACTGGCCGTGGAGCCTGGCTATTGGATAATTGCACCTGGAACTATCACTTGCGCGCCAAGGTAAGTGCTCGATCTTGAATCAAGAAATAGGCTAACGTGAATTGCTGCAGGTTATCGGTGTAAGACGTGATTGTTTTGGCTGTGGCCATACGTGCATAAGCTGTAAAGAGCTTTTTATTCGGACTTGCAAGAAATGCAACAATGAGTATTGTCGTGAAGACAACGATGCGTCTTCCGATACTATGGTCAGTATAATACAACGAGAGGTATAACCTGCTGCTAACGCTCAGATAGTGTGACTGGTGCAACTATACGTCAAGACGAACCAGGGAGATGTACTGAACTTGATGTCTGAGGCTTGGAAAGAGCCTGGATACCTCCCGTGGCGACGGACATGACATTGCTTGCGAATACAGCAACTGTCGGTTTTCTGATGTATGAATGATGACTCTCCTCTTAGAATTAGTGTTAGATACCCCTCTCAAACCCATGAACAAACATTTCTAAACATATGTTGTCAAGTTCACGAACAATTATCCCTCCTGTTGCGTGTTTGCATTTTAAGTACATGCAATAGTGCCATGTGGTTTCGTCGCCTTCATGTTGCTGCCAAGCCCCGGCGGCTTGTGAATGGCCAACGCCGATGCACACGATGACATGTGGCTGCCACTTTGAGCCGCAACATTGCAAACAAACAATCTTTCCTCCAACTTCAGCGAGCGAGTCCTCGATTCCCAATACCAAAGCCCACTCTCCCCCGCGATCTGTCCTTTCCGCCCAAGAGTCCCCGGTGACGTCGTCTTCAGCTCCACGTACCATCTTGACCCCAAACCACCTCCGTTAGACCTCCGCCAGGCACCAGCACTGCGAACCCCCCACAGCCAGATCATCACAGCTTAAAACCTACTTCCGATCACGGTACTACACGCAATCGCATATTGAACAATGGCGCAATATGGCTACGGACAGAACCCTCAATACGGCGCAGGAAATGCGCAAAACCTCCAATTCTACCCATCTTCATTCTCCAATCAGCCAGTATCTGGACATTCTACACCGTTCCAGGCAAACTATGGCGCGCCGGCAAGTCAAGCATACCCCGCACAGTATGGCGCGGGGTTCGCTGCACCGGGTGTGAGTGGACAGATGGGCATGGGCAGTTCAGGGCTACGGACAGGATGGCTGGCAGCTTTTGGTACTGAGGGGTAGGTCGCGAGGATGTGTTTGTGTAACAATCGCTGACTTGTAGCAGATATGATGGAGAACCGCCGCTACGTACGCAACACCGACCTCACGATCGCATTCGACGAGCTGACATTGTGTAGTGGAAGAATTGGGAGTGAATTTCAGACATATACAAATGAAGGTCGGTTCTGAACCATGTCCTGTGCTATCTACAGCTGACGATGAATAAGACATTGGCCGTTCTGAACCCATTTGGTCGTATCGACCAGCACATCATGGACGACAGCGACGTAGCAGGTCCCATACTTTTCTTCTTGATTTTCGGCACATCATTACTGGTATGAAGACAACAGAAATTCAGGGAAACATGAGCTGACAGGGTGCAGTTGTCCGGCAAGCTTCATTTTGGTTACATCTATGGTAAGCCAAACAACCGTTCGAAGAGAACAATGGCTGACTGAAACAGGCCTGGCATTCGTCGGCACAATCCTACTTCACCAGATCCTCTCGCTCATGTCTCCACCTGTCAACGCGGTTGAGGCAACCCCTGGAGACCACGGTCACCCGCATGGCTCACACCTCGGCTCCTCGTTGACATTCCCACGATCGGCTTCGGTGCTTGGATACTGTCTGCTTCCTCTCGTACTGGTATCGATGTTTGGAATCATTGTACCACTTGACGGGCTGTTTGGATATCTTCTGACAAGCTTGGCTATCACATGGTGTTCTTACAGCTCCAGTTCGATGTTCACTGTTGTTGGTAAGTTGAGACTTCTGACAGGGTTGTTACAGAGACTAACATACTTCGCAGGGCGCATGACTTCGATGCGAGGCTTGGTAGCATACCCCATGGTTCTTTTCTATGGTAGTTTTGGTATCATGGCCATCTTCAGCTCTCGGGGGACTGGCCAGTTGGCGGCAAAGGCGGCGGGATCATAGAAGACTGCAGTCGGAGAGCAACACAAGATGCTTCTGGACTGAAATACAACAAAATCTAACACACATACTTACAATATGAAGAATATAACTGAAAATAAATCCAAATATCGCTTCCAAATCATCTCTCACTGCGTTGAATCATCTGGCCAATCGGAATGTAGCTGACCTGCTTAGAGCGATGACGACGAGGACCCTGCACGAAATTGTTTCTCCCGATAAACTCCGCCACCCGTTCCATCTTCTTCAGCCCTATATACCCTTGCTTGCCTCTGGTTTTCGCAGCCATAATTCCTCTTCTACACGATACTTCATAATGGGTTGGTTTTGGGCAGACACCGCACCCGCTGCACCTGCAGCACGTGTTGCGCCGCATCCTATGCCTCGAGGCAGCATGGAGCCTCCAGTATGTTTTGTGCCACTCCACATGCGCATGCGCCTCTAACAACATCGCAGCCAGAATGTCCAATGCACAAGAAACCTACAGCGCCCGTAGTCGCCGAAAAGAAGACACCGCAAGGCGCCTGCCCCTACGTCCCGCCTGAAAATGCCTCTACCGGCGCATCAGAGCCACCACCAAAGACCGGCTTACTCGCTCGTCTAAACCCTCTCAATAACATGTTCGCCGAACTCTCAAATGAGCGAGCTGACACGCAATCCGTAAACCTCCCTCTCGAGCGCGAAACCTCTACGATTCCCAAAGGTGACGGTTCACTCTGGGAGTACCCCTCACCCCAGCAAATGTACAACGCCATGCTACGCAAAGGCTACACCGACACGGACATCACAGCCGTTGAGTCCATGGTTGGCGTACACAACTTTCTCAACGAGGGCGCCTGGGCGGAGATCATGGGCTGGGAGCGACGCTTCTCCCGCGGTCTAGCAGAAGGCTATGAGATTTGCAAAAAGGGCGAAGACGTCGCAAACTTTATGCTCGGCACACACGACGACCCCTTTGACACAACAACCTGGGACCAAAAGGATGTCCAACCCCCGAAACTCCTTCGTTTTACCGGTCGCCCTACGGAACCGACGCCAAAATCTCAAATACTGCAGTGGCTCGGTTACGTTATGCCGGAAAAGTTTGGCACGGCGCCCCCGTTTGATCGCCACGATTGGTTCGTCGAACGCTGCAACGAGAAAGGGTGCAAGGAAATTAGATACGTGATTGATTACTACGAGGGTGAGCCCGAACCTACGGGCGAGCCAGTCTTCTTCCTCGACGTTAGGCCGGCAGTTGATGGCCCAACAAGTGCGGCGGAGAGGTTGATCAGAACGGGCACAGATGTCTGGTGGAGGGCGTCCGGGGGTGTGGCGAGAGAGTTGAGGAAGTTGGAGGCGGCAAAGAAGCAGAAGGAAGAGGAGCTGGCTGCTAAGAGCAGGCAGTACAATTAGGATGACGGTATCGGCACGTGTATATGAAGCATTGCGCGGCGTTTGTTGGTTTGGGTTTCTGTATAATTGGTTTGTACGACATACGGACTTTGCTGATGATTTGGGTGGGGTTCTCTTTTGTGGTTCTGTCGTTACACTGGTACATTTCTCTACTCCAGATTTTCTACTGTAGTTTTCCTTCACAGTATTTATTGATGCGCAAACACGACATGAAGCCTTGCTACCTATGCACTCCAATAAACGTCCTCTCGCCCCGATACATATGAATGCTTCGACTGAAATGATCCTCATCTTCTTCTTCCTCTTTGATCCACACACCATCCACAAGTTTCGCTCTCACCATCTTCTCCTCACCCTCATCCCCTTCTCCAGGCAACGTCCCCCCGTCTCTCGTCTTCCCCTCCGCCATTCTGACCCCAACCGCCTCGACCACCGTATCGAAACCTTGTTCCACATCCTCCTCACCCCATGGCAGCGCCTCGACATCAATCTGCTTCTCCTTGCCCAGCAAGCACATGACAATGACCATGGCACCTGCTTTGGACATGACCTGGTTATGCTGTTTACACGCATCATCGTTACAGCATTCATTGCATCCCTCAAGACAATGACAGGACGTGAGTCGTTGACACGCTTGATTGAGCAATGTATCGATGAACTCAAATGCTTTGGTGCTGATGCCAGAACCGCTCGCCCCGCCTTTTGCATCGTAAAACGTCAACCGAGCAGGTCGCTTTCTCGTTGATTCCTTTTGCAAAAACTCCTTCTCGGGGACTTTGCATTCCGTGCGTACATCTCCTGGCATGCTGATGACGAAGTTGGGCATAAGGGACAACACGGCGTGTTCAGCGGCGTGGATGCCCGCTGCGATGTTCAGACGTCGTGACTTCAAGATATCCATTGCAGATTTCGGTACGTCAAGCCACATGCCCTTGCTAAACAAAATGATGGGCGGGTTGTCGACCTGAACGGCATCAAGAATACGGCGCTTCTTGTCAATCTTGAAGAAGCCATAGACGACTTGTTGAATCTTAATGGGGCCGTAGAAAGCTTTGCATCGGGAGCCGGGGATACGGCGGATGGCTTCTGTTTCAACGGGGTCAATGTCTGTATAATCACGTTGCTGCGTTGTCCAGTCTACTTTTACGTATTCGACCTTTGCAAGCATACGCTCTTGGGAGAATTCCTTAACGAGATAGGTGTTTCCTTGGTGTAGGAATATGCCGCCGTCGTAGAGAGTGAAGAAGGCGCGACTAGCTTCCAGTTCTTCGAGTACCGTGTTCTTGCCGTGTGTGATATCGATGATGGCGAAATGGTCCTCTTCGGTATCGCGAATTGCAACTGTACGAGATGGCTGAGGGAGGAAACGGGAATTCACGTGATAGAAGCCCTCCTTGTCGCATCGCATGCGTTCTTTGGCGATTTTGGGAAGGAGAGGGCCAAAGTAGGTAGTGTCGGCTTCGACATTGATAGGCATCTCGAACGCAGCGCATTGCACGTGGCCTTCCAGAACAAGCATGTTCGTCAAGTCGACTTGGAGTGCGCAATTAGGTTTAGTGAAGATTTCATCTGGATTCGACATGTAGTACTGGTCAGTGGGGAAGCAGTCGCCGACCAGAACAGATAGCGAATCTCTGTTTCTCCTACCAGCACGACCACTCTGTTGACGGAGGTTGGCGATGGTGTAGGGAAAGCCGACTGTAATGACAGCATCTAAGGAGCCTATATCGACACCGAGTTCTAGAGCGCTGGTAGATACGATACCACAGAGCTTGCCGTCAAACATTTCTCGCTCAATTTCTCTTCTGTCTTGCGGCGTATACCCACCTCGATACGACATAACTCGAGGGATAACCTCCGGTCGCTCCAGGTTGGTTAGTTCGGATTTAACAGCAGATATCAACGCTTCACATTGCTTGCGTATACGGCAGAATGCAATAGCTCTTATGCCTCTCAACATCAATTGACAGAACAGCTTTGCTGTCTCAGCCATGCAATCACCACGTCCAGAAGTAGGGTCGCCAGGATCTTTAAAAGGCGTGTTCCAACATAAGAACTCTTTACGTCCGGAAGGGGAACCGTCGAAGTCTGTCAACTTGACATTGTCAACACCAAAGATGGTCTTCATATGCTCTTCGGGGTTTGCGACTGTAGCTGAGCAGGAAATGAATTTGACGTGACGATTTCCGACAGCAGCGCATATCCTTCGTAGACGGCGCATGATAAACGCCATATGTGCCCCGAACAGTCCGTTGTAAACGTGCAGCTCATCCACCACGACGAACCGCAGATTCTGAAGGTATGTCCGCCAGGCATCTTCTTGCGGCAAAATCGTGATGTGCAGCATATCGGGATTTGTGAAAATAATACGTGCTTCGTCACGAATATAATTGCGTTCGCTCATGGGCGTGTCTCCATCAAACGTCTCGACTAAAACTTCTTCCAAGCCCGGCATGAATCGTAAAAGCTCCTTCATACTCTTTCTCTGATCCTGCGCCAGCGCTTTTGTTGGAAAGATGTACATAGCTCTTGTGCTTGGTTCTTGTTCTAGTTGGTGTAGAACAGGGATCTGGTAGATCAGTGATTTACCAGAGCTGGTCGAAGTTGACACTATTACGTTGTGCCCGTCGTAGAGATTGTTTATTGCCTCCGCTTGGTGGGCGTAAAGCTGAGTGATGTTTTTCGTGTTATACAGCGCGTTGACAAGATTCTGTGACATGGCGAAGTTCAAGTCGCCATAAACAGGTTCCTGGGGGTCGAAGACACGGTGACCATCCGGCACAATCTGACCAGTATACCACTCAAGTGTTTTGATCTCATTCAGGATGTCGGGAATAGGCTTCCGCTCGGCTGGTATGGAGGCTGGTAGCAGCGATCGATCTGGGCCGGGCGTGGAATGTCGGCTCTCTGTCGGCACAGGAACGAAAGCCTCTGAAACTTTCTTGATCTTCTCTACCGCATCAACACCTTCCTCGGCGCATTGGTTCAGGAATGCGTTGACTGCCGATGTGAACTTGAGATTCCTCTTCTCAATCAAATTCATCATCTGCTTCTGGCTGTACACGGGCATCTTGAGTTCCTCATTCCGCAGTTTCGTCGTGGCCTTCGTAGGCTCCCCAGTCTTCTTGTGTTGTACCTGGCGCTTCAAGTCGCCATCGATGAATTCAAACAGCAGCACCTCCTTATGCTCACCCTTGTCCGGTTCCGGCCCAAGTATCGCAAAGTTCGTCGTTGATCTCCCGTGAAGGTTGTCTTCTGCACCCATGACATTGATTAGGAGCATTGCTTCATCGACATAGGCAAAGTTGATGGCCTTCGGGACCAATGCCGTAATTTGCGCCACATCTTCAACCACTAGCTCTCGCTGTATGTTGGCTTCGACTGTGCTTCTTAGGTTTTCAAGTGTGGTCGCAAGGTGTTTGCGTGTGCATAGAAACGTGTAAACAAGATTCACGGCGCGATGCACCTGAGCCAGCTTTGTGAAATGCTCAGGCCACGGTATCGACGTTTCAACGAATGTGGATGAGTTGTTGCGCGCGAGAGATGGTCTGCCAGCACCGCTCTTCTTCGGCGCACGTCGTGGCTTCTTTCCTCCATCATGCGCCTTT